TTTTATATACTTTACAATTTGTACTTTTTGGGACAAAGGAGATAAATCCAGGACAAATATTGCTGGATTTAATAATTCGTCGTAAACTGTCACTTAGCACCGGCTCACTAGCGCCAAATTATCGCCTAGAACTCGATACACGAAAACACGCCATAGATAAAATAAGCATGGACGCGGGTTTTGCACTGGTAGGGCTGTTACAACTTGTAAAACTTCGCACCGATTTTATAAGATAAGAGCTTCTTTATCTTCGGGGATTCTGTGCTGTAACACGCGTAAAAACATTTTGAACGAAACCAGTTAATTTATTTATGCAGTTGTGTAGTAGATTAATAATTAATTGTTTCTTAATCATTATCAAATCAAATTTTTCAATAAAGATTTAAATTGTATAAAATAATTGTTCACAATAATGTTAGTACTGTGTGCGATTTGCAATGAATTACTTGGAAGTTCAGTGGAAATATTATTACTATTGCGGACATGTATTTCATTACAAATGTCTTTCCCAGTGGCTTCCGAGGTACAATTCTTTCCAATTTATCTTTTGAAGTACATTTGGCTAACCTCAAACTTGTAGTTATTAATGTAATTCATTTTGTAAGTTAGTACTTGATTTATAAATTTTGTAGATCTCCAACTTGTCCTGAGTGCCGTCGAAGAACTACACCATCTACCATACAGAAAATTTACTTTAACATTTGTGCAAACAGATCTCTTCTCGAAGAACCTGCTGTGTTACAAGAACAACTATCAGATGCAAAATTAGGATCACTGATCTTGAAAAATCTCTTGAATATTCCAATGATACAGTATTTATTAAATATTTTTATATATATTCTTATTTATGTAAATTATCAATATTTTATCAATCCATATTGAACCAATACTTTTAGTAAGTCACGATATTTCTGTAATATTTACTTTTCATTATTTTTCTGATACAATTGTTTCAAAAGTAATATAATTTTAAACTTTTTTAAGTGAAAATAGCAAATATTTATATTGCAGTTGAAATCATCTGAAAAAAAAGTTTTAAACTTGAAAAAAAACTGACTAAAACAAGTGCAGCTTTTGATAAAATGAAGTATCAATACAATTACTTCAAAGATCAAATGAAGGAATTATCGGAGCTAAGAGAACAGATACAAAAAATGCAAGAAAAAGTGCAGTCCTTGGAAAAGTTAGTGCATTGAACATAAGTTTCTCATTGTAATAAATAATGGTGAAATATACCATGATATCCTCAAGTAATCTTTTTTCATTATAGAGTTGACCTACTATTAAAATCAACTTGCAAAGAAGTGGATGCAATGCTTTCTAATAATACGAGTGTTGCAGATTTGGCTAGTTTTGTATCTACACTCAAGAGGTGAAGAATTGTTATTATCAATATTAAAAATTGGGTAGGGCGAGGCACAGAGGTCCAATTTGACTTTGAGCTATTATAATGTGATAACCAAACCAATTATGTAACAACAAATAACACATATCAAACAAACAACAATCTGAAAATGTTCAGTAAAACTCTCAACTAATTCATCATCATAGAAATATTATTTGCAGAAATGCTGTTTTTCAAAAATTTTGTCACCTGGTACTTTTAACCATATGGGCAGGGTATAATGGGACGCCAGGGGACAATCGGGCCCAATGTCTTGACAAAATAATTGCTACATTATTCCACTAATGCAAAATATCAATTTTACATTTTTAGATCTGGCATTTGATCAGAAATATTCATCAGCAGAGTTGGAATCACTATTTATTTAATTTATCTGTTGTGAGATTGCTTTTTTCAACTCGATATAATTTTTTATTTACTATTTTTTTATTGTTTACATCTTTGCAAAGGTAAAGATTTAGTTGGTCCTTTTCACAACACCAACGTGCAAGTTGTTATAGAGGTTGTATAAAAAAACTGTTGAATCTAACTTAAAATTGACAATATATTTCATAAAACAATTGTATAACGCAAACTTAAATATTATATTAAGGTCATGTAAACTAAACATCCCTGCTCACAACTCACAAATAAGCTAACCACGAAAGAATATATACTTTTTTAGGGATTTCCAAACATTGCCATTTTTCTCCCGATAGCAATGTCGTATGATGTCGATAGACATTGATGACTGGTTATACATCTTCTTCCCTCTACTTTCAAATATTGTTAAAAAATTGTTAACTTGGAGAATGTATTTTAAATAGCATATTTTAAAAATTTAGCAAACTCACCTCAAGTGAAGAAAAGCAAAACAACTTAAAACTTGGGTATCAAAAATTGCAACTAGAAGTTATTAAATATAAACCCAGTGTATTCGATTCAAAGAGAAACTTGAAATGCATAGGTAAATTGATGTATAGTTTATATAGATCATTATATGTATTTTAGAAAATGTGTTTTAAGAAGATGTCTTTGAAATATTTAAGCAACGATCAAGAAAAATTCATTGATTTACATAGGGAAAAGTCAAATCTGTTGGAACGTATTGCAGAATTAGAATCCATAGTTGAACTTAACAAAAGTACACCACCCAAAACTGTAAGTAATTTTATGATGTGTACAATTATACACAACTCTAATTTTTATCTTTTAACTGAATGGCAAAACTATATTTGAACCGGTTTTCACAAAAATGGAAAACCTTACATTTGAAAATGATTTCAAATACATTTTGTTATTGTGTATATCTGTATCGTGAATAATATGTATATAAATTCACACAGAAGGTACTAAACAACTCAAATAAAAGTCCGGATTCTCCATATTTACAAGTTCAATCTAGCAGTTATGGAATGATGCCACTAAGAACTTTATCAAATAATATCCCCTTAGAAGCAAAGAGGAAACTCGCAACAGATAATAATCAAGTAATTAATTTTATTAGTCAAACTATATTGTTCTATTATATTAAAATTATTTGTTCTTCATTTTAGTATTCCATATTCAAGAAATCTCGTCTAAATAAATGTCAAACTATGGCATCTCTTTATTCCCAAAATTTAAACAAAAAGTGGAAGGAGTTTTAGTGATGATTGTCACAATGCTAATTTCTGGTATTCTTTTGAAGATCATGATTACGTTTTTATGAATTAATATTGAAATGTGATACTAATTTTAGTTAAATATAATGAATTTTTTTAATATAATAGTTTTAATATATTATAAACTAGTGGTGCATGGCATTGTGCTTTAATGCAAATTGCAGAAACTTTTCGTACCATAATTGAAAATTTAAAAATAAAAATAATCAATAATTAAGAAAACTTGATTAATGATTGATAACAATTGTTTCAAATGTTCTCACATATATTGTCATATAAATACTGTAGAACTCATTTTTCATATTTTATGTAGAAAATGTAAAAGCTTATGAATAAGTAAACAACGACGTTTATATATCTTTACAAGAAAAGTAAAACAACTGCATCAATTCGATTTAGAACTAGTGGTGTATGGCATCGTGCCTTAAGGGAAATTGCTGGAACTTCCCGTACCAGAATTATATATTCGAGGAAAAAATATCAGTAATCAATAAAAATTGATCAATGAATTACAATAATTGTTTTATACATTTTCAAATAGATAATTATAATCACTATATATTTTATTGTTCATAAAATATACAGTGACGATCTTATCGCTCAATGCACTTGAGAAAGTTTACATTAGCAGGATGTGCCAAATAAATCCATCTGAGAAAATATTTCCTACAGTTAGAATAACGTATTTAAAATATATGCGTTTTGAAACTGAATTGTAAATTTAAAATTCATATTTGAAGTATAAAAGTTCTGTGAATTTTTTGGAGAATTTTGAATTTTTTTTTTCGGAAAATTTTGAAATTTGCTTGAACTGTATAAGTAAACTTTTAAAATGAAAAATCTTGGTACGGATCCCAACAAAATTATAGCAAAAAATTAGTACTCATTTTTAAAAACTTCATCAAATATCTGATAATTTGATGTGCATGTTTTGTGTTTTGTGAACATTGGCTCAAAGAATCCGAACTTCAGTTGGTCAAACTAAAAGGTTTACATTTGCAGTCCTACTTCTGTTGACGAAATTTTTCTCATGGCTGTGTTTGCGATAGGTAAAAAAAAAGATTTTTTACCTTAGATCGATATGCCTGTAAACCAATTTGGGCAACGAATAGTTGTGTTGAAAAAATACTCGAGTATATTCATTTTAATATAAAATACAAATTGTTAGATGATTTTAAGATCTCAATTAAATCATTTAATCTGATTCAGACTATTCTTACTCCAACTCGTGTAACTCCACAATCGGCCTCGTGTATCGTCAATTTTTAACTTCCCGAAGAAGTTTATGTTTTCATAAAAAAAAAAAGATTCGCTAATTTTATGTTTTCTCGACGTTTCAAGCCATTCTGAATAGAATGAGACCAAATTTGGAAAAAGTATATGTGTGTATATGTAATATGTGTGTGTGTGTGTGTGTGTGTGTGTGTATGTGAACAGATTTTTTGCCCTAAATCGACGTTTTCTCGAAAATTTAAAAGCCATTCGATGTATCTCGACGAGGACTATCGATTGTCAGTTTTGTGGGACGATCGGCCGAGACGTTTCTTTATAAATAGCAGAAAAGTGAAAAAAAAAATTGTCCACGTTTTAGTCCGCAAATCTGAGCCGATTATGAAAATTCAAAAACCGTTCGAAAGATATTGATTAGGAATCGAGCTGATTAGTTTTTGGCAAAGATCGGCCGGCCCGTTTTTTTGTAATAAAGTGTTAAAAAAATTTTTTCGACGATTTATTATTATTTTTTTAACTGTAGATACTATAGTCTTCTAGATCATACTAAAATATTACGGCCCTACGACAATTGGTTTCACTTTGAAAATTCGTCAAAGTTTGCAAAAATTGGTATCGTTTTTTTGGCATTTGTCAAAATTAGACCTTTCATCGACGTTTTCTCAAAAACGCCTGAACCGATTTCCGAAATTTAAAAGCGATTTGATGTATTTCGATGAGGACTATCGTTTGTCAGCTTTGTGCGACGATCTGCCAAGCCGTTCTTTGTAATTTGAAACAAAGTGTTAAACTTTTCGTCCACATTTAAGCTCATCCTACCGAACCGATTTTAAAAAATCAAAAACTGTTCGAAAGATATTAGTTGGGAATGGTACTGATTAGTTTTAGGTAAAAATCTACCGAGCCGTTTTTTTGTAATTAACTGTAGAAAAAAAAATTTAAGCCGATTTTTATGGATTTTTTTTAGCGATATATATCATGGGCTTATAGAACTTACTATAACATTACGGCCTTACGACAAGTAGTTTAATTTTTAAAATTCATCAAAATTTGAGAAAATTGATAGTTTTTTTGGCGTTTTTTAACTTCCCGTAGGGTAAGTTATTGTAATGGGCCGAAAATCCAAATTGAAAATGTTTACATTTCTTGGCGTTTTGAAGGTTTTTGAACATTTTGGCATACCTCAGAAAAAATGGATGTGTGTGTGTGTGTATGTATGAATGGATACAATTTTACGTCCACGTTTTCGGGCGCACGGATCAACCGATTTGAATGGTTCAAAAAACATTTGATTCATATTGATAGGAAGATGTGCTGATTAGTTTTTGGCAAAGGCAGGTCCAACCGTTACGGAGATACGGAGCAAATAGTGCAGAAACTAGAAATCGAGTTTTTGAGTGAACAGAGCATCCGATTTGAATGATCTAAAAAACATTCAATTATCATTACTATAGTAATGATTATATTTTAATAATTATATTACTATAGTAATGATTGGGAGAAGTTATTATTACTTTTGGACAATGGCAGGCCCAGCCATTTCGAAGACACAGAGCTAAATGTGCAAAAAATGGCAGTTTTTGAAGGAACTAAGCGTCCGATTTGAAGAAACGTCGTTAAAAGATAAAATGGTGGCTCACATACACACATGTTATTTTTATAAATTTGCTCTCAATCGATTCAAAATGACTTGAAACGTCGAGAAAACAAAATTGGAAAATCGGAAATTGACATATGTTGCTAACGAAATAATAAATTAAGGAATTGTCTAAGAACGGAATTTTGAAGGTTTTTGAATTTGCAAAAAAATGTATTTCTTTTATTGAATAATACTGATTGCGATTTTCTATCAATATTAAAAACGGGTTATATGCCTTAAGCTTTATAGATTTCCATGATTTCTTATAATTAATTCACTTTAATGTGCTCTGGTTAGATTTCAGGATGTTCATCGAGACCTAAACTATATATCACTGTGCAGAATGTTTTTTGTTAACATGATCAAAATAAATGTGTCAATCAATTATGAGAAAATGGCACTGCGAATATTCACTAAAAATTAATCACCTTGATTTTAAACTGGTATTTTTCGAACTGTTTTAAAATTAAAAAAAATCGATAGGTACTGGATTTAGGAAAACATCAAAATGTAAAATGGCGGCTCACAGACCCACACAAACGAAACGTATTGCTCCATTATCAAAACTACGATTTTTGCAACAAAACAATACTTTACAATGTATCTGTAATTCTTTTACTTACCATTGTATTAGCAAACTCCTTCTGCATTAAACATCAATGTCAATAATCACTCACATTTGTTAGCTGATTTTTACTCTTTATAACACCAAAAGTTCTTTACTAAATGTTTCACTTTTTGACAGTTCTCGGCTGGGGTTGTAAAAATTATATAATTAATTAACACTAATACACAGTACTAATTAAAATTATCTCACATACTAATAATAAATAGTCACTAATAATAAATAATTATCAGTATTTCACTAATTGCAATTATTTAATGGAAACAGTTAGCAAACGTTTTTGATAAAATCACACCCGACTCCCAACCCACGCCATTCTAAAAGAACCCATTGCAAAATCAAAACAAACCGACCGAGAACCGGCGCAGGGCCTTTTCACTTAGAACAAAATCCTCGTTCAGAAGGAATACTTAGGGGTCCATTTGTAGTCGCAGATTTGGCGCTAGTGAGCCGATGAAAAAGTATTTTCAAATATTTTATGTTGGTTACTAAGAAACGTCAGTGTCACTTTTGTTTAAGTTTACAAAATGGCGATTCTTGTTCGTTTGTGTTTGTATATTTGTTAATAAGGATTTCAACAGGAATTGCTCTCAAATGCATAGCCCTTTGACAATATGAATAGAACAGCTTCAAACTCATATGGAGGACATAATTAGTACATTACTACGTAGTGCATTGACATATTAGTCTAATCATAATACACTTTAAGGAAAGAGGTCAGTTCTAGAAAATCTACTATAAATGTCTTGCTTCTACAAGAAAGACATAATACACAAATAAAAATCTGTTCCAGCTGTTTAAAATTGGACTACCACTTCACACGGATCTGAATGTACTTGGGAGAAAATGAATTGCTTAAGAATGTCAAATTTTGCACGGGATGATTATTAGTTAATGAGAGTTAAAAAGTTAAGAATGACAGACGATGTAATGAACTAACACTATATGCATTATTCACTAAATTGCAATAAATATATATATATATTAATTAGTAGAAAAAAGTGTAGAAGTTATTCCAGTAGATTAGATGTGATATCATAATGTGATATATATAAACCGGTGTATTGCAGTGTATTTGTTGATTTATATTTCGATTTGATTGTAATTTATTATAATATAATATTATCTAGTATATTTTTGTTATTATTGTATTATTACAAAACATAATAGGATTGTAATACCAAATTTAGTTTCAAATACCCGTGCACTAAAAATCATTAATTTTGATTTCAAATTTTGCGCCATTAATTTGAATGCCAAAAGCAGCGCCATCATGTCGAGCGGAGGACCCTTTAAGTATTCCTTCTGAACGTAAAAATCGGGCGAGAGAAGCGTCTATATGAACACGGGGTATTCTAATATTGTCTAGGAACCGGCGACTCCACCCGAACGCCACGAGTGCGTATCGATAACTGAATTTGCAACATTTTCAAATTTTATTGTTCTGATTAGGTGTTGCCATATGCGATAATAAATCCAATACACGATATCATAGAATAAATAAATTTATTGTCCATAATTTATGTATCAAAGGCAAAA